TCCCTACACTAACCCAGTGGTCTTTTCCCATACTGTCTTAGAATCGTAGGGACCTTTAAAGGCCATCTAGTCCAAACCCCCTGCAGTGTGCAAGGATAGCTTTAACTAGATCAGGTTGCTCACAGCCCCATCCAACCTGACCTTAAATGTTTCCAGGGATGGGGCCTCCATCACCTCTCTGGGCAACCCGTGCCAGTGTTTCACCACCCTCATTGTAAAAAATTTCTTCCTTATATCCAGTCTTCAGTGACCATCTCTTCTTCACCTCTCTGCTGTACTGTGTTGTCTCTCCTGGCTCCCAAGCTCTGTTATCCCTGAAGCCTGAGCTTTCTACAGATAGGTTACCTCTGCTTTGTGTTTGAGACAGTGACTGTGTAAATGAAGGAGTTCCTGCAGGAAGTCAGAGGAGTGACTTGCCCAGCACAGCTAAGGAAGTTCAACCCTTATGTAAGAAAGGAAGAGGTTCGGTCTCCCACAGCTGCGCATACCTCAGGTTCTTAGTTTCTTAAATTAACTCAGGATCACTCTTTTAAGTGCCTGGATGGAGGGGGAAAAATACCCCAAACAGGTCCCATCGCAGTTAACCATGGCAAGAGTTGGACTATCTCATACAGAAGCACAGTTTAGTAGCATACCTCTTTATGCACCTTTGTTCTGCTCTTGATCTCTGCCACTATCATTCCCACGATGGAGCCCCTATATGTGGCTGCGAGTGAAAAGAACTTCTTGTTGGAAGTGATATCTCGGTACCATGAGTCAGGGTACCTGGGAAGGAAGAAAAAACAGGAATGTTTGGGGACACAAAGCCCATGGCAGCAGGCAGCGCCACAGTAAACATTGTGCCGAGATGCTGCTCCACTGGAAATAGGCAGCAACATCTTCAAATGCCAGTCACTGGAACTGCAGGCCAATGTATTTTACAGGAGGCCACGGGAGGGAAGCCGTACTACTGAAAGGGCTGTCTTCTGCAAAGACGTACAGCCAAGTAGCTCAGCCATATGTCAATCTAAAGCTCTTTCTATGCTACTAATTTAGCCTGTTCCATGAAATCCGGGTTAGGAAGTTATTCACCCTTCCCGTCTTAACTGCTGTATGGTACCAACGCACACCAAACTGCTGCTGTACCCCATTTGGTAGCAGGATTTATTTCAATCGCACCTAAGCAGCAACACAGGCTGCTCATGTAATGGCCTCCTGCCTTGCTAAAACAACCACATTTTCATTTCACATTCATTGCTCAGAGCTTTCACTTCCATCTTTAGCAAGTTATTTTTAAACGCAAGATCCATCTGCCCTCATCTAAGAGCGCAAGGATCTCATTAATTTGATACACATGTGAAAAAAATACTGCATGTTGGTACAAAAAGAAAAAAAAAAAAATCACATCACCAGCCTCCAGCTCTCCTCCTCCTTCTGCAGCTACTAAAGGGAAACTAGCGTACACTAATTTATTTCAAAGCAAGAGTTCAGCATGCCTTGTGTTTAAAAGAAATCTACAAAATCAAAATATTATGAATGCTTTTGCTGGTTTGTTACATTTTATGCAATTTTAATTATAATCTGCTAAAATCCTCTATAAACCACCTTCTTACTAAGCTAAAGAAAAAAAAAAATCCTTGAAGTCTACAGCTGTAGTTTCCCTGGATGCTTCAAGCCAGAAAGCTATTGCTGTCCCCCAGAAAAGCTCCTTATTCCCGTGCTTGTGCAGACACAAGCATTTACCAAATGGCGGCCTGGGTAGCTGACCTGGGACAGACAGAGATCAGCTTTAAGCCAGATCTTTGCCAGAGCTTTGGGTGCAACAGTGATCCTGAGGACACAGGCAAGTACTGTTCAATCTCCATCTCCCCTGGGACATTCAGACAGACAGTCCCTTAGGTACGGTTGCTTGGTGTCGGTTTGGTTCAGCTCTGAGGGTGCTTTCTCAGCACACACTCCAGAACACGACTTTCTTTCACAAGCACAAGGGATGCTGTCCTTTTTCCTGGAGGTGTGCTCCTTTCCCTATCTCATATACAGCTTTTTCCAAGAAGCCGATCCACCCCCCTTAATTACAAAGCCCATTTTTCTGCCAAAATCTGCATACAGGAACTTTCTGATGACTTTAGAACCCCAGAGGACAGGCAGCAAAGGGCCGTTAACAGGAACGCCACCACAGTGCATCAAAGATTCAGAACCTGCTGCTATCTTAGCAACAGTCCAGAGCCTTTGGTATCAGCTCTGAACTGGACCAGTGCAGCTTCACAACATTTGTTTCTAGATCCCCGCCATCTCACACCCCAAACCGGTAACGTACTCTATTGGGAACCAGTCGCCACAGAGCTGTTTCACTGTGTCTATGTCATCGTGGCAAAGAAGACGCAGGTTTACGTCCGTAAGTGCAGTCGGGGGCACCTCCTCTGTCATTCACGCCTGCAAGAAAAGAAAGCACATTGAGAACGATGAAGGGCAGATTCCAACTCTCAGCTTCAGTCGGGCATCTGCGCAAAGGCGGCAGGAGGTTCTCAGTATCAATAAAGCTGTTTTTCCTAGCAGAACGAGTTTTCAGGAGACATGAAGCAAAACGTGGCAACGTTAAATCCAAGAGGCAACTCGAAGCCCTGTTGCCCACAGGATAAGCACAGCTCACTTCTCGGCCTGACCTACCCCACCAGCCCTGCATCCGTACGCACCCCGCTCCCTGCGAGCACAGTCCAGCTGTGCTGCGTGTGGAGGAGCACGTGGCACCAACCACTTCCAAAAAGAGCTCAGGATGAGGCGTTAAATAAGCCAGCAATGTGCCAAGTGTACCTTACGATGCATGGAGCTCTTCAAACGTCTATGCGTGACCGACATTTTGTTCAAACCAAACCGAACAAACAGCTTGAAAAGGAAGCACTGCCAGAAGAACATTTATGCCGTCCTCTTACACAATCCTGTCATCTCCAGTTAGTACGTATGCAGAGGAGTCAAATTCTACAAAACATTAATTTTGTTTAACGTATGCCGGTGAAATGAGATCTAGTTTCATTTCCCCTCATGCCTATGTGCTACAACTCCATGAGGGCTAGCTTTCCAACCCAGCAGAGAGCATTCAAATGCAGAAATCCCAAGACACCCTTTTCTTTCACCATAGCACAACCACAATCCTGCTAACCACGTACACGACACTTACTCCAATGTCTTCAGCCTTTTTTAACAAGGTACCAGAGGGAAAGCAGCAAGCGGTAACTAAAGTGGTTGTAAAAGCATTTGTAGTGCAGACACGTGAATGAAGAACAGATCTGGAGAACAGGTTTCAGGCAGGACAAAGCCCCACATGAGACACCACATGTACAGAGCAAACGAGGCAGCTGCAGGAGCTGGTCCCCTTTCATAGGCCACCTGCAGTTCTCCATCCCCGGCTTTGTCTCTCTCATTCCAACCCTCCTAGTCCCAGGTCAAAGAACCAGACCAGGATGCAAAGAACAAAAAAAACCAAAAACCAAACCAAACCAAAAATCCACCACCCTTAATTTAAAAAAGTCGTTTGGGTTTGGTTTTACTTTCTTTTCCCAACTTTAAGAGTCTCAAATCTGGGTTTTAAAATACTGAGTCATAAGGAAAACGCTGCACGCAGCAGCGCTTGCGTATGCCCTCCTGTTGAAAGGGATGCTCAGCTCTCCGGTGCTCTCGCATGGAAGCTCAGAGTCTCAAGAAGGAATAGATTTAAATGTGCTCCCCACTGGACTGGACGTGCCATTTGAGCAGTTTCAACACAAAAATCGCATCACCTCCGCAATATACTCTGTAACTGGCAAAGATGCACAAAAGGGGTAGGCACAGCAACGATCCCAGTTTGTTTGACAGCACGCAACTGGGTGCCGATTGCTCTCCTAAGAATTTGGAAATACCTCCTTCCACTGTACCCCTAAGAAAAAAAACAGGCTAAGCCATAAAATCCACATTCCACCCCCAAATTTCTCTTTTAAGGTACATATGCTGGCTTTCTTCTGCGATTCTCCTGAATGAACTGGTAGAGAGCAACTCCCAGTTAGCACAGCATGATGAGAGTGGAGAGTCCCCAGATGATGGGGTCCTTGGAACTCAACTTCAGTGCTGAGAGAGAGGTAATTAGCACCGCTAACGAGAACAATGTTCACCCTTAACTTTATCACACTCCCTCCAACACATGTTGTACGACTGCTCTGCGCTGGCTAGACCAGCGTGAGCTCCCACCCCTCCGTACTCCCGGACAGCAGCATGAAGCCTCTACGTGGCGTCGACCCAGACCTCCTAGGGAGGAAGGAGGAACTCTACCACTGGTTTGTGTGCAACCTGGAACACATCAAACAGCCAATATATCAACAGGAGGAAGGATACAATTAAGGTCTACTATTATCCAGAGAAATCTTTGCTAGCCCTTCTCCCATGCACGCAGAAAGAATGGTGTAACGCTTTAACAGAGCAGGGGTCCAAGGGACTTCTCCTACAGCTCTTGAGAAAGATGAAATGGGGTGTTTCTTCAAGCAAGGAATCCTTCCCAGACACAGCGTTCCTCCCAGTGACTGGTCCTACATATTTCCCTGAGAAGGGCATCCGAGGGGATCCGTATATCGATATGAATCTCTTGTTCTTCCCCAAAGAAGTCCTTAAAAAGAATCACAGCAATTTCACAGCCTGTTCTAGGACTGTGGTTGCCTATTTACTGAGCAGCCTACAGCTTTCACAACCAGTCCAGATGCTAGTTTTAAAACAACTTAAATACCTAGAAAACCCGCAAAACTAATACTCCTTGCTGCTTTTAAAACTAATTTTACACTCCTAGAATTGGCTCAAGCCCTCTGAGGCTCGACTTTGAATCCGTACCCTGTCACGGCAGCAAGCACGCTCTCCACCACCAGCCCCTGGTGACATTTTAACACGCCCCAGCTCTCCCCCACGGGGCCCTGAAGGAAGGGGGCACGTTCACATGCCGTGGCTGATCAGATCCACACCGCTGCTGGCCAAGGTGGCTGATGCAAAGCGGTGTGGACCCCAGTCCCACCCACACGCTCCTCCCACCCTTGCTGGGACATTGCAGAGCGGTGACAACCACCTGATCACGAAGCAAGTGCAAAATTGTTCATAGGCCAGGGGGGGAAAAGAGGGAGGGAGGAGCAAGCAGGCACATACAGCAAGAGCTGCTTTGGCCACAGCAAAGCTCCAAGCACTGATACGTCGCTTTGTTTAGTGGGCATTAAGCAGCACTCAGGTTTGCAACAGCAGTGCTCAAGAAAAATAAAATATATGAGAAAGAGAAGTTTCGATGCTCCTGTAAGGCAACACCCTTTCTCAGTCAATACTCTCAGCATTAATAAATCAGAGATAAATTAAACAACTATGACAGAGCCATAGATTTGCTAATGAGTAGAAAAAGCAGGGGCCTAGGAGCAGACTTAGGCAGCAGCTGCTGCAGGAGAGGCAGAGCCAGCACAGGACGCATTCTTGCGAGGATTAGTTCATGTTTATTTAACACTATATTCTCAAAGAGCTAGGCAAGCATTATGCATTATCCTGTAGCTGAAGCCAGCCTTAAAAAAGTAATCCATGACTGTTTTGTTGAACAGGATAATACCCCTCTCCTCAAATTCTGAGAGCCCTTTCCCAGCACTGCGTGTGTTTGCAGTGGCTCTCTCCAGACGCTTCACATTATGTGACCCCATCTGATGCTCTTGCACATTTAAGGTGAATTTAGGTCACCTGCCTGGCACTGTGTCCTGCCACAAGGTTTCAGGAGAGCAGACCTGTGCACCTTGCTCCCCAGCCAGGCATTGCTGCTGCCAGAGAAGCTGCAGTCAGTGGCTGCTATGACCAAGAGAGAAGAAATCCCAAACAAGTTAATTCTCTTCATACCCAGGTGACAGCCTCTGGTTCTTCACAGATATCTGGGCGAACACCCAAAAGCTGAGTCCTGGCCCTCTGCACAGCCTGTGGCACGCTGCAATTAGCAGAGCTAGAGTTCTGAACAAAAGCCTCAGCTAGCACAGTGATGAGGGTATCACTTTTAGAGTCCACGAGGGTATCACTTTTAAAGTCAACTTGGGTTTAGAGGACAAAAGAGATGTTTGGAAGGTTTAAGAAATGATAAAAGAACCAGTATAAGTGTTAAATATAACCCCAGGACTCAATGGAAGTTAAAAGGGCCCTTAGGGGTTTAGAGGTAGCATAGCTCCACTCACCGTTGCAACATCGACAACACCAACTTCTGACCACTGAGACCAAGTGGTGGTTGCTGTGAAACAAAAGGTAGGCTCCAGCCGCGTGCAGTTAACTGAAGGAGGTCCACAGCCATTTCTGCAAACCCAAAGTGCAATTACCTTGTTTAATATCTTTTTTTCAGGTGTAAGTCTTTGTTCAGGTGATGACCACGGTCTGGGAAGTGGCATGGTTAACGTCATCCACTGCCTCTCCACCTAGTGGGGCACAGCGACCTCACCCTTTTGTCAAAATGGGAAACGTTCGCTTAGGACAATTATTAAATGAGCCAACATTTTATGCTTATGAAGGGATCGTGCAGTTAAACATTTGAAAAAGCTCCGAGGACACTCCTTTCCAAAATACCAAAGTTAGCAGCGAGTATAACTAGAAACCAAGCATTTAATTCCCTCTCCTACACAATAAATTAATTTAAAAAAAAAAAACAAAACACAGGAAAGCATAAAGGTTTTGAGCATTGCTACTGGTCTTTTGCCTTGGTGTACTGAACCGGAGGAACCTGTCCAATACTCATTACAAATATTTAGCAGCAGTGGAAGTTGGATGAAAAGAAATAGTATATACGTTTCCTAAATAAGCCAACTTAACATATAATTTTAATTTAAAGCATATTGCAAGGCCTAAACTTAAAATTTAAAAATAACGTCATAAATCTTCAGCGTGAGCTCTAGCTTTAACGTATTAAAACCCAGCATTTCACAATTCTGTCTAAAAGGCAGAGGAGCCGTTAGCTTCCAGCATCAGCCCAAGCGATGGCTGGGACACCATAAATTACCAGTGTTCACTCCGCACAAGGAGCCGAGTGCGGGTCCTGACATTTCTACCACCAGAACTTCCAGGTCCTACTGTGCAAAACTAGGTATTGGTTTGACTTTAGGTTAGCTACCAGGTGCAAGGACAGTTTCTTTACTTGAACTAGATGCTTCACAGCTAAGAAACCTCAACTCAGGCTTTTCTTAAGAGCAGGAAATGTTCTTTCACTCTTAGAGCTCTTGTATTTTAAAATAAATAAATAAATAAATAAAAAACCACAAAAAGATAAAATCTACACAATACCGTATTTCTACAGAAACTGAGGCAGCCACACAGAATCAGCACTCTTAATCCAACCAGGTGTTCACGCACAAGACAAAGCCTGGTGCTTACTAGAATTTGGCAGGAAACTGCTTAAATACGTTTGAAAATCCCTCAAGCAC